GTAGATTTTACTGCATATGGTTCTTGTGAATCAAGCTTTAGTCTGAAAATTTTCTGAATGTTCTAGTGATGAACTTACAGCCTTTTCTTTGCAGAAATCAAATCGAGTGGAAATTAATTCTAGGAACTGGTCAAATGTGTTGAAAAACAATATTCGTGTTTAAGACCTATTTTCATTTGCTTCAAGTTCCTGGGTGGTTTCTGATGTTGAAAATTTGGAAATCTATAATGACTGCTCAAAGACAAAGCTCCGTAATTTTTCTATGGTTGCACACGGACGTTGATTCTCCCGTTATTTTTTTTATCCCATTTTTCTCTTCTTAATTAATGGTTCTATAACATTGGGGGCAATTTCGAAAATGTTGTGATGGTGAATGAAACAAGTGGAAAGATCCTCAACAACCGAAAAACTGAAGCCTGATCATTTTGTGGAAGTAATTTTTAAAGTTGTCCTTGTTTGATTTAAAATCAGGAGGCTTCATGAATCAATTGTAATTGTTTGCTACCTTCAAGGTATAAAATAATTGCTGCTATGATTTCAATGGGAACTTTCTTAAAATGAATGGACCACCAGATTGCATGTGCCTGTGATGACAAACAACCTTTTGCTAACTCCGCCCCCCCCCCGTAACTTCTGGGAATTTTTTAAAAATTGTTTTTCTGTCACACATTCGTCTATAGTTTCCGTGCATGTGATGTTAGTTCGGAAAGAAAAAAAAAACAAGATGGATTCGAGTGATTTGTCGGATGAGCCCGCGGAGAAGCGAGCAAAAATGGCTTGTCCTTCTCTTCCGGCGTCTGTGAGCATTCAAGATTTCCTGACTTCGCGGGAAGCGGAAATCCGCGTCGTCGTGGATCTTCTAGGTGAGCAAAAAATGTGTATTTTAAAAAAAAAGATGTTTTGTTCATGCAGATTTTGCTTCTTTCTTTTCATTTTTTCTAGCCGGAGACAAAAACAAGAAGATGACGGTTGCTCAGCGGGAATTGCCGTTTGCCATGAGGAGACGAGCCATGAGCCACAATGTGAAACGGTATCCGAAGCGACTGAGAACTCCAGCATTGAAAAACACTGTAAGAAATACAGGAAATTCAGAACAACTGTAGCGTATTGAAAAAAATATACAGTACCGGTATAATGAACACCCTTGATGTGCTACAAGCTGACTATTTCTTGAAATTTTCAACAATAAAGGAAGTGCTCGATCGTTTTGTGGGCTGCGAACAGGAAGATTTGGAAGCACCCCTCATCTATAGTTGTTGAGGTTCTAAAATTGGAAAAAAGGAGTGCTCATCTTCGCGTAAATACGATATTTTGAATGAATTGTTTCCCCGGATAATGGACGCATCGCACAATGATCTCAGACTGCTGCCAATTTTTTTTCTCGGAAATATAGAAAACCCATTTTTCGATAATGTGGACTGCACGAAAGAAAAATGATCGTATGTGATGAAAAGAAGCTTTAATTGAAGAACTTCAATTTTCCTATTTGATAAATTCTGTTTTTGATCCGTTTTTATCCTTGATCCTCAGCATTTTTCGTGTTGGTATGAAATCAATCAAAGAATTTGCACAGGAATCTTCGAGGAATTTGAAGAAAGGTTTCGCGTTTTCGATTTTGCTCGGATCAGCAGCTACGCGAAAATGAAGAATAACAATTACTTTCAAATATTTTTTGTGAAAATCCATTCATGACCAAATGAGCAGCGCTTCTTCTCGCCAGTACAGTATCTCTTTAATTGCTGTGATGATTTCGCAGGTTTCGATGGCAAAGAAACCCAAGCGACCGAGTAAAAAGTACCGGCATCGAGCCTTCAACAAAGTGAAGGAATTCGAGAAGAGGCAAAGGAAGAGTTTATGGCTCGAAACCCACGTTTGGCACGCGAAACGCTGCAGAATGGAGGTCATGTGGGGCTACAAGGTCGCCGTGAGGTCGAATGACAAGATCTACAGGAGTTCTTACAGGGCCATGAAGTCTCGGGATTCCNCATGTGGGGCTACAAGGTCGCCGTGAGGTCGAATGACAAGATCTACAGGAGTTCTTACAGGGCCATGAAGTCTCGGGATTCCTGCGTCATGGTGGTCTGTATATAAACTGTGTTGTTTTTTGCATTCGAATTTTTCAAAAGCGTGTCAAACTGTATTTTTTTTTGCTTTTTTTGTGTGCCAACTTATTCTTTGTTATTTGGGAAGACTTTTTTGGTACAGTACTACACATTTTGTCTATTTCCAGTTTATCTGTTTCCCAGTAAACATTGAAATTTTGTTATGAAAAATATCAGTACTGTACAACAAATTTGTCAGTATACCAAACATTTCCTCTCAAGTCCAGGCAGAAAGTCTAAAGAGGACATTTAAAATGATCTTTTTATGTGACTAACTTCCCAATTCCAGTATAAGAAACTTTGTGAGAAATGTTTGATAGATTCTACAGAAAGAAATTTCTTTATCAAGGCAGGCACAGTCTGAAATTTCTGATCTCAAATGTAACTGACCAGTTCTTATTGTACCTTGGATGAAAGCTGTAATTGATGACAAAAATGCTTCCAATTGAGGGGTTCGACTCAGATCATTCTCCCAGAATGAAGAGATTGGTGCAATTGATGGAATGCATGATGCAAGCTAATTTTTCCTGAATATCTCTCAAATTTTTGAAACAATGATACAAAATTTGAAAATTCCAGAAAAGCATGATTGAATTTATTATAGGCAGCAGGTCTGACGTGAAGATGTTTCCTGTCATTAATTTTGAAAATCGCGTTATGACGAATTATTCAGTGCAATAAACTTTTTCTGAAGTCCCCAAAAGTTTGTTGTAGCAAGATTTTACTGTAGAAGAAAGATTTTTTGTGAAACTTGAAGAAAAATTCAGACTTTATTTCCTCCTCACAGTTGATGATTGCCTACTATATTTGTTTCAGTCACAAATTTCGTCATTCAAGTAATTCCCAGCAGTGAATTTAAAATTGCCATTGCGACATTACCTGAATGAAAATCGATTTCTCGGAATAATATGAATAATCAATTTTTAATTTTTTTTTGCAGGATTTGTCATACATGGTCTGTATGGAATTGAGTGGCCCAAAAGGCCGACTGGAGGCCCAACTAGAAAGCGTTTTTCTTAACTTATCCGTGAATGACTGTAAAGGGAAAGAAGTCGTCTATCACCTTTTTTCCGAGGATGGACGCTTGATTTCGCCTGTGAATTTGTTGAGGAATTGTCACGAAGACGACGACTCCTACTGGCTCTGGACTCACCCGACTTCTCACGAGCAAGTGCTGGAAAGACTCAAACGCGTCTTGAATCTCGACGAGGACAAGGTTCCCTCAACCGAGCCCGAGACGGATGAAGAAAGCCGAGGGAAACTTTCCAAGGACCGGGTCAAGTTGAAGAAGCTTTTGTCGCAACCCGTTTTCGCGAACCCGGAGACTGGGATCGAGATTCGAGTTCTCAAGGACAACCTGAACCGCTTTCGCTTTATCGGCGGTGGATGTTCGAGTGTGTTTCAGCGAGTTTTGCAGCCTGTCGCGAGTCTGGGTGATTGTGAATGGATGCTTGATGCCGGTGGACGAGATGATAAGCAACCGAACGGAGACGTTGTTCGAGCCCTCGAAGAGAAGACG